GGTCTTTTCACGTGTGTTATGAATAAATCTTCTTTTTTTCAGTACTAGTTTTATTTTGTTGTATTTATCTGCGACACCTTAAAGGCCGGTCCATGAAAATATTGTCGGGCATAAACCGGTCCGTGGCGCAAAAAAGGTTGGAGACCGCTGCTCTAGGCCGCAGGTTAATGGTCAGTTTTGTAATTGTATCATCAGATCTGGGGCCATATGTTTTGGACACTCAGGTAAAGAGAGGGGCTGAGCTGTCAACTGATCACCACCTGGTGGGGAGTTGGTGGCAGAGGAAGATGCTGGACAGACCTGGTGCCTAAACGTATAGTGAGGTGTGAGGAGTGAGTCAGTGCCTGTCGTGTTGATAACTACTGAGCCAAATGGTGGACACCAGAGGTGAAGAGAGCCACCAGACTGAAGAAGGAGTCCTATTGGGCTTGGTTAGCCTGTGGGACTTTGGAGGCAGCTGATAGGTACTGACAGGCCAAGCGGAGCGCTGCTTGGGCCGTATCTGAAGCAAAAACTCGCGTGTGGGAGGAGTTTGGAGAGGCCATGTAAAAGGCTGCCTCAAAGAGATTCTGACAAACTGTCAGGCAGCTCAGGAGGGGAAAGGACTATATAGTGCGGACTGCTGTGTGGAGCGCAGCTGAGTTCAACTGAGAACATTGTTGGGCAGTGCGAGGAACACTTCACGGACCGAGATCCCACTGGCACATCTTATGTGGAGGAAGTAGAGTCTGGGGACAAGAAGGACAAGTCGTCTTTCTCTGGGGGTGAGGTCACTGAGGCAGTTACACAACCCCTTGGTGGCAGAGCCCCTGGGGTGGATGAGGTTTGACCTAAATTCCTGAAGGCCCTGGATGTTGTACGGCTGTTTTAATTGACATGCCTCTACCATGTTGAGTGGAGATAAGGGGTGGAAACTCTGGGTGTGTGCCAACTGCTGGGGGATCACACTCCTCAGCCTCCCTGGGAAAGTCTATGCCAGGGTGCAGGAAAGGAGTGTCCGTCCGTTAATCGAACCTTGGATACAGGAAGAACAATGCGGTTTTCGTCCTTGTCGTGTAATACTAGAAGAGCCCTTTATACTCTCAAGGACACTTGAGGGTGCATGGAAGTTTGCCCAACCAGCCTACATGTGTTTTGTGGAGTTTCAAAATGCATTTAATCATGCCCCTCGGAGTGTCCTGTAGGAGGAGCTTTGACAGTATGGGGTGTCTGTCCCATTGTTATGGGCCATTCAATCCTTATACAACCATTGCAAGAGCTTAGTCCACATAGCCGGCAATAACTCAGAGTCATTTCCAGTGGGTGATGAACTCTTCCTGCCCTTTGTCACCGATTCTGTTCATAATTTTTATGGACAGAATTTCTAGGTGTAGCCTAGAAAGGCTTCCACTTGGGTGGTTTCAGAATCTCATCTCTGCTTTTTGCAGACGATATGGTTCTGTTGGCTTCATCAGGCGATGGCCATTCACAGCCGACTGTGAAGCAGTAGGAATGAGAATCAGCACCTCCAAATCTGAGGCCATAGTCCTCAGCTGGAAAAGGGTGGAGTGCCCACTTCAGGTCAGGGACAAGTTCCTGCTCCAAGTGGAGGAGTTTAGGGATCTTGGGGTCATGTTCACAAGTAACAGGAGAACAGGAGATTGATAGACGGATTGGTGCTGTGGCTGCAGTGATGTCCGTCGTGTTGTAGAGAGAGCTGAGTGTAAAAGTGAAGCTCTCAATTTACGAGCTGAGGGTAATGTATATATATAAAGCGCCTTGAGGCGACTTTTTTTGGGATTTGGCGCTATATAAATAAAATCGAATCGAATTGAATTGAATTGAATGGTGGAAAGAACAAGATCACAGATACAAGCGGTGTAAATGAGCTTCCTCTGAAGGGTGGCTGGCCTCTCCATTGGAGATAGGGTGAGGAGTTCGGCCATGCAGAAGGGGCTCAGAGTAGAGCCGCTGCGCATCCACATTGAAAGGAGCAGTTGAGGTGGTTCAGGCATGTGACAGGGATGTCTCCTGGGCACCTCTTGCGTAAGGTGTTCAGGGCAAGTCTCACAGGGAGGAGGCCCGGGGCAGACTCAGGACATGCCGGAAAGATTATATCTCTCGGCTGGCCTGGGAACACCTTGTACCATACATTAAAGGAATGCTTGGCTCAACAGAGCTCCGATTTTTGTGTCAGTCTGGCTACAAGAGAAACCGATCAATGGTACTTGAAATTGTACTTGATCATAGGTGCTCCAATGATAATTGAGATTCTCTCTCCAATAGTGTAGGATCTTTCTCTTGCAATCAAAAGCACCTTGAGAAAACTTTTGCTGTCAAAAAGTGCAATATAAATAAAACCAAAGTGAACCTGAAGCTCCACCTTTAGGTTTAGATCAGGGGTGTCAAACTCATGTTACATTGCGAGTCACATTTAGCCCCCTTTGATCTCTTTCTGTCAGTGCAAAAAAGATACATATTTAACAGTTTTTCTACATGATGAAGGAAAATTTGCTATGACAAAGAAGGAAATCTTCAGCATGACTCTTTGAACTTTAACTGTACAAAATAAATGTGTAAAATTACAGAAAAAGTTTTGGTAGCTCATTACAACTATCCAGTTTTTTTGTTTTTATTTTTTTTGTAGTTGTAAAAAAAAAAAGAGACATTTCAACAGAACTTTTCTGTTTTTGCACAAAGCTACAGAGTTTTTATTAGGGACAGAGCTAAGTGTTTTTTAATTTGACATAGTTTGCAAAAGTTGAAATTGTTTAATAGCAGAAATGAGTCTTTCTTGTCAGATGTAATTCCTGGGGGACAAAAAGAGCCACTGCCAACACTGCAAACAGCAGTGGAATTAAACTGAGAGATAGAGCTGTGCAGGAATTTATTGATGGGAAAGGAAGAAAGCAAAAGTAAGAATAAATTCATTACAATGTTACTTAAAGATGAAGTGTAGTTTTGATCTTCTCTGCTGCTGGTTCAGTGAAACCTGCAGTTACAGTCAGTAAAATGTCAGCACCTGACTGCATGTCCATATGTGTTTTGCCGCACTTTGTGTTTACAGCTTCTTGCAGAATATGTTTACCTGCTCTTAATCATTTGCTGGTTTAGCTGTTTGGTGGTTGTTGACATGGTTTTGAGGGCTTTTAGCTGAGATTCTGATGCTTCTGTGGATATCACATGTCTATATTGGAATAACAGATCTGACGGTTCATCCTGTTAAACCACATGTTCTCGCTTTCGTCTCGCTATCGGTGGCATTGGGTTCCAACAAGTTAATTGTTTATTGATTAATTACTGTGTGTAGTATGAATAGTCATGGGAGGTTTTTATCAGTAGCAAAAGCTGTAAAACTTGAAAATACAGTTAAAAGTCCAAAACCCTTGCTTGTGCTTGTTTGTGATTAGCAGCAAATCAAACGAGTTAATAATAAAAATTGCTTCAAGTGGTCTCTTCCTCACTCGCTTATTGGGACTGCTGTCGATCCTGCACTTCTCCACAACTGGTGCTGGTACATTAGATTCTGTTCAACAAGGTGCACGAGCACACAGGGAAGTGTGGGAGGAGGTTGGGTTGGACAATCCAGTGTTAGGAATACATATGGAATAATAGGCTGCTTTCAGTGCTTCTAGAGCCAGTGTGCAGTGACTGGTCTGTAGTCTGTACAATTAAATCGAGAAAAGAATAAAAAATCATATTAACCCATCGGCTAACAAATGCGTCAGCACACTGGGCAAATGCACAGTATATAAGATTACCAGTCCAGTTCTGCCATGACACGAAGAATACTAGAATCCTACTGTCATCTTAAAAATAGCAAAGATTCATTGTTTGTCCAAATGTACGGCAAGTAAGTAAAGTACCGAAGCCGAGGAACATGTCGCTGATAGGACAGTAATTACTGTTAGGCAGCAGGAATGAGCTGTGATGACAATGAGAGAAGTGAAGGACTGCAAGAGAAACGCAGGAAACGGGACAAATACAATCAGCAGGAACATTTTATGTTTGTTTGAGGTGTGTTCGTGAACGTTTTATTACATTGCACTTACCTTGGAGCCTCGTTCATTAAAAATAATCTCCACGTCTAAAATCTTTCCAAATTGCTGAAGAAGGGAAGAAGGTGGGCGGGGCATAAAGACAGAGAAAGAAAAACGGAGAAAATAATTAGACTATAACACAAGAAATACTTTATTTATGTTTAGGAAAATCCCCTACTGCTTTCTCCAGCTGGAAAATTAAGTATTTTAAAACCATCTTTAAAAAAAGACAAGTAGTCTGTACCAATAATAGCATTAGGAAATTATCCATTCACCCTTAGTGCTGTTTAGTGATGTGTTTGGCTGATCATAGTAATATAGAGGTTTGAGTGAATATGTCTGCACACGAGAAAAATGAGCACCGTGGGAAGGTAGTAGGCAGTTGAGTAGCAACACCCCATCATGGCTATTTGTTTTCTTAGTATGCATACCACCACTGCAACTGCCTGCCAGATCTCACCTAATTATGCATTTGGCTTCTACAGCTTCCCACATGGCCTGGATCTGGCCCACACAATGTGCTTACACATGGCCCAAATATTGCAAAGGATGACAACCCTTTGGTGGCCCACATCAGGTTTGCCAGTGGTGACCCACACATGGGCCAGCACAAGGCCAGGTGCAGACACACTGCTGGCCCTGTGCTGGCCCAGAACAGTTGCAGCTCTGGCCCCAGATGTCAGTCTAATGTGTAGCTTAATCAAGCCATATAATAACAACATGTGCCAGAACATAATGGTGCAAAAATAACATGACAAACCTCTGTTCAGACAGTGAATGGACCGATTCTTATAGCACTTTTCTACTCTCACAGATTACTCAAAGTGCTCTATACAACATGCCACATTCACCCAAACACACACTTTCTCTAAACTGAGTGTTTCACGACTACATTCATACACATTCAGACTCTTGACATGCAGACTGGAGGAGTCAGGGATCGAACCACTAACCATCCAATCAGTCGGTGACCTGCTCTACCTCCTGAGCTACAGCTACCCGGTAGTAAACATGAGTAAACCCTCACTAGGTTTTGGATAAAGTGTACACTCACAAACCTGTTAAACCTGCATTTGCAGTATAGTATTGCAACATGGCATTTGGGTCTTCTAACTAAAATAGAAAAATAAATAGTGCCGTCATTGCCAGACCTGGCCCACATCTGGGTGACATACCCCCTGCCATGACACCTGTCAGTCAGAAGTGCCAGCTTGATGCTATGAGCCTGGGCCACATAAACCAACCACAATCAGGCCAGATGTGGCATGCCATCACATAAACAGTGCCATCTATGCCAGGCCTGGCCCACATCTGGATGACATACGTTTTATCATGCCAGAAGTCAGCCAGCAGTGCCGGCTTGACACCAGTTTTGGGTCAGACCTGTCTGCTATGTGGGTTATCTTTAGATCTAAGTAATAGTTTTAATTAGCTCCATGTTTCATTTTATTTGGCTAATTGCTGTGAACTGAGTGCTACACACTCCGACACACTGATGTCTGTGGTGAGTGTGAGACTGTCAAAAATATAAATACACTAAACATGTAAACACACCAGTATCTGGAACAACTGTAATCTGAGCTATTCTTGGCTAGGTTATACAAAAGCGAATTAGGAAAACATGCAATTAATTTGAACTGTAAAGTATTTGGGGCTGATTTATGGACCAATCCAGAGGACCAACCAAACAGTGGACAAAATGCTGTACAAATCACCAAAAGAACACAAGGCAAAGCAACACAAACAATAATAAATACAAGGTAAGATCACACCACTCGTTCCTAAGATGTGCTTTAAAAATAGGCCACGAGGGGGCTGTCTTAACATGGGGAGGAAGGTAACTCCAACGTTTAGGGGCTATAGCTAAAAAAGATCAACTGTCTCTGCTTTTTAGTTAAGGTTTTGGGACTGCCAGGAACAGCTGGTCCGTGGATCGTAGGGAGTCAGGAAGATATATAGCGTGGTACTCATCCATTAAGAGAATTTAAAATAAATAATAAAATCTTAAAAGGGATCCTGAAACAAGGAGGAGGCTAGGAGAGGCAATGTGCTCATGTTTGCAAGTACCATTTAAAAGGCCAGCAGCAGTATTTTGGACTAATTGCATGCGAGCAAGGAAATAGTTGCTAAGGCCAACATAAAGTGCATTCCAGTATTCCAGACGCAAAGAGACGCTTACTTAATTACAGAATGTATCTGCTTATCTAGTATAACATCACAGTCACAAATGTGAGTTACTGTGGGTTTAACAGTAGGAGCCAGGTCAAATAGAGGATTGACACAGACACCACTGGACCTGAATACACAGTCTTAGTCTTAGTATCCTTTAGACACTCCAACGGTGGTTTAAGGGAGCTGACATTAATTCTTTTTAGTACATGTAAATTTGGGTTGTTGTCTGCATAAAAATGGTTGGCTAGGCCTCCCCAGAGTGAGAAAATAAAGATGAAAGATGAAACTTCTGTCAGACTACATGAGAGAGGGACTGAGGAAGACTCAGGGTCATCAAAGTGATAAATAGGACCTGAACCACTCTGTTTAACCTTCTTGATGTCATGATGAATTTATGATGACTTACATTATATTTCCAAAAGTATTCAGTCATCTACCTTCAATCCACATGTGTAAGTGTCTTGTCAGTGCAAATATGCTTAAAGTGATTTATTTAAGTGACTTGTGATAAAGTGATTCGATTAGATGACCATGCATTTAATCAAATTAGTGTAAACAAATGTCCAGAATGTCCAGTGTGTGTGTAAGAACCATATGTGTGGGTCAGTACTGTGTGGTGGTGTGATTGAGAGACCGTATCGCCTGCGGGAAGAAGCTCCTCCTCAGTCTCTCTGTGTTGGTCTTCAGGGAGCGGAATCGCTTTCCTGACCTCAGCAGAGAGAACAGTCCGTTGTTGGGATGACTGAGGTCCTTCACGATCTTCCTGGCCTTGGTCCAGCACCGCCTGCTGTAGATTGAGTGCAGGTCAGGGAGCTC